GAAAGAACACGCAACCGTCTCCTAGAGGAGGGATGTCCGACGTGTAGATGCTGTAAAGCAGTGGTCCCAGCAGACTCCCTTGCGGAACACCTGCTGGGATCGGAAATTGTCCCGAAAGGGAACTATTCAACGACACCCTGAACGACCTTTGCTGGAGATAGTTACGGGTGATTTTCACAAGGTATGGTGGAAAGTTAGAGTTACAAAGCTTGTATATAAGTCCGTCGTGCCAGACATTGTCAAACGCCTTTTCGACGTCTAACAAGGCCATGGCTGTGGACTTGGATACAGCTTTGTTACTTCGGATGTTATTCATCACCCGCACTAGCTGATGATTGGTGGAATGCCCCTTGCGGAACCCGAACTGTTCCGGAAGAAGAATGTCATGTTCCTCCACAAACTTGTTTAGTCGGCTGAGGATCAATTTTTCGAACAGCTTGCTCAGCGCTGAGAGCAGGCTAATCGGTCTGTAGCTTGACGGTAGTGAAGGGTCTTTCCCAGGTTTGCGGATCGGGATGATTTTTGCCACCTTCCAGATGCTTGGAAAGTAGTGCAGCTCCAAGCATCTGTTGAAGGTGGCAGCTAGCAGCGAGTGCACCCTCGGGCTGAGATTTTTCAACGCTAGGTTGAATATTCCGTCAAACCCGGGAGCCTTTATGTTCTTACTGTATTTCAGCGCTGAGCAAATTTGTTCCTCTGTAATCCGTTCTTCTGGAGGGACGGCACAAGGGGAGGCATCTAACGTCAGGACGCACTGCGCAACCTGGTTCTCGAGTGGACTTGGGATTTTAGAGCCAAGCAAATGCGACTGGGCAATGTGCTCCCCAATCGCATTGGCCTTCTCTTCGTTGGTGATAAGCCGTTCGTCATTGACTCTAAGTGGTGGAATGGGCTTGGGGTGAGACTTCAGCACCTTGGCAACCTTCCAGAATGGTCTGGAACGGTCGTCCAGGTTCTGAACGAGCCGCCCGAAACTCTCGTTCCGGATTGAGACCATTCTGGAAGCGATCTGCCGATTCAGATCGACCATTTCGTATTTACGCTGCAGATCCCCAGTCCGCTGAAACTGGCGTCTACGAACATTTCTGAGCCGAATCAAGAGTTTGGTGTGGGAATCTTGAACAGTGGCATGAGAGCAGCGCTGATTTATATCTTTTCAGGTTCAAACAGAATGATGTGCAACCAAGTGGTATTCGTTTATGATGACTGGGTTTGGGAAAAAGGCTTATTTCATGAAATCAGTTATAAAATTATCATTTGTACATTTTCAAAAGTTTAATTACAGAAAAATTGGAAAAATATTTATTTCAACAGGTTCGTAATGTAATATCCTATCGATTGGCGTATTTGGATTTTAATTTCATCTATAAATGACAAAGTTACAAGCGTTCAAAACCTAACACTCCTTCACCACACATATTTTTTAACTTGCACCCCAGTATAGTCGACAAAGACGTAGTTCTACGTCAAAATTAATTCTAAAGCTTATTTGAAAGATGCCTTGAAATAGCAGTAAATTTCTGGCTGAATTTCGGGGGCTCGTGAGCATTCCTGGCATTTCTGAAAATTATGATAGTATCATAACATTGATCGCTGGGAATGCTTATGAATATTTGAGGTGGACAAAAGGGTGAACAAAGAGGTGAACACCTTTTCACATTTATATCGCTGTGAAGCAACTGAAATTGTTGAGGGAATTTATATCTGTTACAATACTAGTTCGTTTATGTTTGCTGATCTGGTTAACATGTCACACTTAATTATCTTAAAAATAAACCGTCCAGCTCATACCTTTGTATGGGGTAAGAAGTGGGACCGTAATCATTATCATGAGAAGCAATATCAACACCACTAGACTAATTAGGTAGGGGCTGGCCGAAACCCACGTGGATAGTTTTTGAAAGGTTTTAGACACCCCATGCGTGGAATCCAGCCAAATAAAAAAAAATGGGCCGTCGACTGCCAACCTCCCCCTAAACTGTCCACGGGGTACATGGACAGCCCTGAAGTATATGCTTAACTCGTGTAGCTTACGTAATGCGCTATTTTTAGCAGTACCCGTCGGTCCAAAACCTTGTTAAAAACAATCTCGAAAGGTCTTAGTTTTCTGAAGCCAATTGCGCTTGTCCTAGATTGTGTAAGTTTATGATTAATATTAAACGATTTTTTTTAACACGCGATTAATGGAATACTTTACATGATTTGGGTTATAATAAAAAAAAAAGTCATAGACTGAATTTTAGGCAGCATTGAATCCATTCTCAATAATAATTCGCGTTTACTGCTGTTACTTGCATATCAGTTCCATGTCCTGTGGAATCTATATTTACATGGGACTGCTATGCGAATAGCGGTAGCTTAGGTCATTTAAAACGTTTTCCATTAAACAAATTATTCTGTGTAGTAATTTCAAATACATTTTCAAACAGATTCAAGAGCGGTATCCTTTTCTGGTATTATAGAAGGTAACTTTGCTTCATTTGTAAATATGTCACTTTGGAATCCAATTTGAGTGTTCCTAATACCTATTAAACAAAGCAAAACCATATTTTTTAAGCCAAAATACTACTAACCCAAAGCGAAGACAACAAATCAAGAAGACTGGCAACTTTACCAGAGCCCAAGCGACCGATACAATGGCGCTGCACTTGAGTGAAGGTGGAAGCAACGCATAGAAAAATTAGCAAATACGCAAACCCTTCTTCTGAGGATGTAATCTTTGCTATCAAATTCGTTTGAAGCATTTACCTTTGAGCGGCAGATGACGCGATTGTACCTGTCTCATAGCGTTCGTATGAGAAAATGGAAGAGTTGCCAGTCTTCTTGATTTGTTGTCTTCGCCCAAAGCTAATAGCATGTCGGGATGAAATCAATGTGATCGACTTCGAAATAATTAGTATAACATACATTTTCTTCGCATCCATTGGTGCAGGTATCTCCTTCTCCGGAATGACCGACAACAGTGACGATATTCCTGGCATTGGCCAGTACGATGACTTTCACACGATCGACTGGCAGCGGGATATTGCCCGGGACCGCATGCGGCATCGATACATCGTTAAGAAGCGACAGGATTCATTTTGGGATCTGTTAAAGGTATGACTTGCTGTACTGATTCATGCAATAAGCGTTCTATTCCAAGTGGTATATTTTGCAGGGAGCTCACGATGCTTCGTCTGGATGGGTTTGCGTCCTGTTGGTGGGCTTGTTCACCGGTTGCGTTGCTGGTGTCATCGATATCGGTGCCAGTTGGATGACGGATCTGAAGTTCGGCATCTGTCCACAAGCGTTCTGGCTGAACCGAGAGCAGTGCTGTTGGTCATCCAATGAAACGAGCTTCGTCAGTGGTAACTGCTCGCAGTGGTATACGTGGTCGGAGATCCTAACGTCGTCACGTGAGGGTGTAGGAGCGTACATCATATCATACTTTTTCTACATTGCATGGGCATTATTGTTTGCACTGCTGGCAGCATCCTTGGTACGGATGTTTGCGCCCTATGCATGCGGTTCCGGTATACCGGAAATCAAAACAATCCTATCGGGATTTATTATCCGTAGTTACCTAGGCAAGTGGACGCTCATAATAAAGTCCGTTGGCCTTATATTAGCTGTATCAACGGGCCTTAGTCTAGGTAAGGAAGGCCCAATGGTGCACATAGCCAGCTGTATAGGCAACATATTGTCCTATCTGTTCCCAAAATACGGTAGAAATGAGGCAAAAAAACGTGAAATCATATCAGCGGCTGCAGCAGCTGGTGTCTCCGTGGCTTTCGGCGCACCAATCGGAGGTGTCCTCTTCAGCTTGGAAGAAGTTTCCTATTACTTCCCACTGAAAACGCTGTGGCGATCGTTCTTCTGTGCGTTGATCGCGGCGTTCATCCTACGATCAATTAATCCATTCGGCAATGAGCATTCAGTGTTGTTCTATGTGGAGTACAACAAACCATGGATATTTTTCGAGCTGGTGCCTTTCATTGGACTCGGAATCATAGGGGTAACTGCTTTGGGAAACAAAGGCTATCAACTGGATATGTTATTGATCGATGTTCTATGTTGCTTCTAGGGTTGTATCGCAACACTCTTCATCAAAGCCAACCTGTGGTGGTGTCGCTTCCGAAAGTACAGCAAGTTGGGACAATATCCCGTGACCGAAGTACTCGTTGTTACATTCATCACCGCTGTCATAGCTTATCCCAATCATTACACACGCATGAATACGAGTGAACTGATCTACTTACTATTCAGTCAGTGTGGCATCTCCAACAGGGATTACTTATGGTAATTAAATCTCAACCGAAGCTGAAGTCGAAAATTTTAACATTACCTTTTCTTTGTATAGCGATTACAACCGTAATTTCACCGATGTGAACTCAGCCATCGAAATAGCCGCCGCTGGTCCGGGAGTTTACAAAGCGATTTGGCTGCTAACATTGGCACTCGTGATGAAACTGATTATGACAATTTTTACATTTGGCATGAAAGTACCGTGTGGACTTTTTATTCCATCGTTGGCGTTGGGAGCAATCATGGGTCGTATTGTCGGAATCGGTAGGTTTTGGATACGTTTTCCTAAAGTACATTGTATGTAATACAAGCGGTCATAATTTCAGGAATGGAACAATTGGCTTATCATTATCCAAAGATCTGGATATTCTCTGGAGAATGCTCAACTGGCGATGATTGCATTACACCTGGACTATATGCTATGGTCGGTGCAGCTGCAGTTTTAGGTGGAGTGACAAGAATGACAGGTATAACATCGATACAAGCCTTGGAGAAAAACCACCAATAACTGTATTTTATAATTGAACAGTGTCGCTGGTAGTTATAATGTTCGAGCTGACTGGAGGAGTACGATATATTGTGCCACTGATGGCAGCGGCGATGGCGTCCAAGTGGGTCGGAGATGCTCTTGGAAGACAAGTATAGTCAGTTCAACTATTATCGACCCACACACTATAAGTATTCTCGTTCAATTTTAGGGTATTTATGATGCACACATTGCCCTCAACGGTTATCCATTCTTGGACAGTAAAGATGAGTTCCAGCACACGACCTTAGCGGCCGATGTGATGCAGCCAAAGTAAGTACACAAACGTAAAATGACTCTGCCCTTTCACACTCATCTTCTCATGCTTCTCTTGTTTGCAGGCGAAATGAAACACTATCTGTAATTACTCAGGACTCGATGACGGTGGACGACATCGAGACCCTACTCAAAGAGACTGAGCACAACGGCTACCCGGTAGTTGTGTCCAAAGAGAACCAATATCTCGTAGGATTTGTGTTACGAAGGGATCTCAATCTCGCCATTGGTAATTTGAGTAATAGATCCGTGCAACAACATTAAAATGTAGTTCTAATCCTTGATCTCCTTCGCAAAATAGCAAATGCCCGGCGTATGATCGATGGTATTACAGGGCAATCTTCGGTGATATTTACGTCGGCACAACCGGTGCAAAACCTTGGTCCGTCACCGTTGAAGCTGAAGAAAATCCTAGACATGGCACCAATCACTGTGACCGATCAAACGCCCATGGAAACCGTGGTCGACATGTTCCGCAAGCTCGGTTTAAGGCAAACGCTCGTTACACATAATGGGTAAGTCAATCAATGACCATCCATCTTATGCTGTAGTCTACTTGATTAACAACAATTCAAACTGACTGTCATTTCAACATTCTAGTCGTCTACTGGGTGTGATCACCAAAAAAGACGTGCTGCGGCACGTAAAGCAGATGGATAACGAAGACCCCAACACGGTTCTGTTCAATTAGGCAAATTGGCTTCCAGTAAACCTACTCCCCATTTCAATCCTACTTAAAGCAAAAGTTTCGTAATATTTCATTTAGGTTTACATCGTTGAATTGTATTTATTGTGCACACTATTCACAAACAGGAACCGTTCCCAGGAAGTTTGGGCGAACAGTGATCGAAATTATACATATGTTCATCAGATGCAATAACCACCATGTTTTATTACTGATACTGATATTTTTATATTATAGTTTATTTAGATTCAATAGAAATTCGCCCAACCGCAGTGAACAAAGAGCATCATACTTTACTTCTGTTATCAGATTCGTTGTAAGTTAAGTAACCTCCATTCGAAATATATAATTTATGAAGAGTTTAATATGGATCAGTTTATATAGGCTGTTTACTGAGTATTAGAAAAAAATCATCATAGAGAAGTAACTCTATTAGATAAATTTTATACCGCGTTAGCCCATTTTTGTATTGTATATTGAATGGAAACGAGTTATTGATAGCAGTTTCAGTTTGGCTAACTCAAATATGGCAGACATCGCAACACTCGGGGTGTCGAATACTGTTGTAATCAGGTTCTTTGAGCGAATCGGAAGTCGCCGTACACTAAACAAAAGAATCCAGCCAAGTCAAAAGCAGCATAATACATTTGGAGATAATAAAGTTGTATATTTATGTAACAAAACATAAAACCGATCTATTTCAATAAGAAAGAGAACTACTCCCATGACTATTTTTTTTTTCTCTGGCTACTTCCCAATTTACCGAAGTGAATTCTATCTTTTCTGAAGTGATTCAAAATTCTTACGAAGTAAAAACCCTGAAGGCGGGACAATTTTGTTTAGGGTTTCAAGCTGGAGATGATCTGATTGACGACTTATGTGTTTTTTTATAATTCCAGGCGGTCTAGTTGGCAGCATGACACTGTTTTGTTGGCTGTTTTTTTTTTTACTTGATTTGTTTTCCGTACTGATTACCAATGGTACCGACGCCAGGGAGGCAGCTCCCAAACCTGGACCCTACCAATCGACCCATCAACTCATGAACCGGGGACTACGGCATATATGCAATCTGTTTACTATTACTTAGCGTGGTTGGAGGCGAACCAGCCTAAGGCTGAAAGCCTCCTAAATAAAGCTAAATTAATTAATTATTACTTAGCAGCACAAACTCCTCTATCTTTCTATCTATCTAACATTGAGAGATATGTAATGAATGAAGATCGTTTTGCTTCATTTTCGACCCCTTGGTAACTAACATCTTCATAGACCTATAGAGTGGCTAGCCGACCTGAGTAAAGAGTTTTGAGTTAACAGTTGTGTTAACACCCGACGGTCCACTTGTCATTGTGTGGTACCGATTTTCTAAGCCAGCAAATTTCGATAGCGTTAATCGTCGTTGATTCGATTTCGTTCCGTCTATCCGACAAGAGTATATTGTCACAGGTGCGCAGCAGAGAACGAATGTGGTACGGCAACAGATCTGGGAGCACGCGCAGAAGACGACAGGCTACCGGCCCCTGATTTCCAAGACGTTGAGGAGGGTATTGGTCGGCTGAAAAATAACAAAGCATCTACCAATTATGTGTAAAGTCGTTTCTTCTTGATATTCTCCATCGTGGCTCGTCAAAATTTCATGTTCAGATTGACGGTGACGAAACTGGTCAACGAGCTCACTGGACCGCCGAAAATGATACCAGCAGAGAAATTTAAATATGCATTATGGCAGGAAATCGTGCCTACTTTGAACTCCGGGGACGCTCCGTCGAATAAAATGAGCTGCATCACAAAACTTTGATATAAACATTCAATTCTTTGTTCAAACCCATTGGACACGAATAACAAGAAAAATTCAAGCTTGTGTTATTTTTAACTTTAATTTTAATCATTATCATTATGTCATTAGCAATTTTAGTCACTTTCGGAATCCCCCTCGTTCATTTCTCGGGTCTTCAATCGCGCTATTAACTCCTTTGCCGGATTGAACATGCCATTCGTTTGGACACCGCAAATTGCACAACGCGCAGATTTTTTATAGTTTGTCAGAGCACATTTTTCACAGAAGTAATGCTTGCACCTAGAATATATGAATACAGAATAACATTAGGTTTTAATTATTATCGAATCGCAATTCTCACTTTGTTATTACTGGATCCACAAAACTCTCTCTGCAAATATAGCATTTGAAAGGCAGTTCATCATCATCGGAGTGGATCTCATACTTCGTGTCATCACCATCGGAATCATCCGCTGCATATGCACCCCCTGTTGTGGATGCCTCTTGCTCCAGTTGCCAACCGTGCTTGTAGTCGCTTCGATCGTGCAAAAATTTACAACTGTCTCCGAAACCACAGTATCCCGTTTCTTTGTAATCCTTGCAAATATCCGGTTGATAATCCCATCTTACAGTAGATCTTATGTTCGAAGGAGCTCGAATAGGACCCTTACGCACCATTCCAGATGCAGCGTTTCCCAGAGCACTGTCCTTCTTTTTGAAGAACTGTGTGTAGTTATTCAGGCCACGATACACCTTGTCATCTTCTTTACCTTCGAGTTCTTTGTTAATTTCGATACTTTTCTCATAAATTGCTTGTGCATCGTGAGTCTTGTCGGTTTCAATTTCTAGTTCTGCTGTAGCCCCCTGATCCTGGGGACCAGCTGGTGCAGCAATACGCTTTGATTTATAACTGACTCCAACAGCACTATCCTCGTCGCTACCGCTGGAGTCCCTTTCAGTCGATGCATGATCGGTGACCTTGCGGTTGTGCTTCAGAGCGGATGTGCTTTGCACATTTGGATTTACTTTTTTCTTTTTCTCCTGATTGACGACCACTGCCGATTCTTGTTCTGCTTCGTCTAGAATTCCAAATAAACTAATTAGCTCTAAGCGAATGAACAATTTAATCTATTATTTATTATCGACTTACCAGATTCGGAAGACTGCTTGCGCTTACGTGCAAATTTATTTTTCACGTTTCGTTTAATGAATGTCGACATATTTGAATATTTTGAAAACTTAAGTATAGAATGCAAAATTAGGTCTTCAAACAAAGTTGGAAACGTTAGAAGACGATTATTATTTAAAAAAAGACTAATGCAATTCCGCGAATACGCTTTGTTGATCTAACTGGGTAAAACAATAATAAAAAACGACAATGACAGATGTGACAGGCAGGCAGACATACAGTTACTATTTAATATTTACCCACTAACCTCAATTGGCAAATCAAAGTTGGCACTCGTGGAGAATAGAAGAACTATGAGAGTGATGATGGTTTCAAAAATATTTTTCTATATTATATGTCTATTAAGTAGTCCTTAAGTTTTCTACTAGCGTAGCATTAACCAGATTTAAATAAAATGTTCCATTTGCAAAATAAAAGCATCTAAAGATTGTACTCGTTACCCTCACCGTGTAAAATTTTGTAACTATCATCACTCTCATAGTTCTTCTATTCTCCACGAGTGCCAACTTTGATTTGCCAATGAGAATATACAGGTAGAACCTAGGGTAGAACAAGAAAATATTTGTTCGTATTGGCAAATCCAAGTTGGCACTCGTGGAGAATAGAATAACTATGAAAGTGATGATGGTTTCAAAATTTTCCAACGGGGAGGTATACGCGTGCAATCTTAAAATGCTTCTATTTTGCAAATTGAGCATTTTATTTAAATCTGGTTGCTGCTATAGTTGTAGAAAAGCTGAAATCTATGTTTACACATAAAAATCTGAAAAGAAAATATTTTTTCTATATTATATGTCTATTTGGTAGTCCTTAAGTTTTCTACTAGCGTAGCATTAACCAGATTTAAATAAAATATTCCATTTGCAAAATACAAGCATTTAAAGATTGCACTCGTATACCTCACCGTGTAAAATTTTGAAACCATCATCACTCTCATAGTTCTTCTATTCTCCACGAGTGCCAACTTTGATTTGCCAATTAGTAGCAAAAAAGAGGTAAACAATCGGTGATGACGAAAAACTCATACACGGACAGAAAATTGTTTGTATTGAACCAAAAAAATCTTTAATTGTATTTAAGCAAACAATTCCAGTTGAAATTATATTGCTTTTTGTTGTTTCAATAATACTTATTCATATAAATTCAAAATAGGATTCTTTTTGTTTTAATCAGCCACTTTTCAAATGCAACTATTGTAAAAATAACAATATTCTATTATTAAGCCAACAATAGTTAATTTTAATTTAGCATTTATTTGCTGTGTCCATTCTCTGGGCCATTAAAGCAAAAAAAAAAATACCAACCATTCTCTCGTTTTCACCCGAACAAAAATGTAAACAATAACAATACTTACGCGTTCCACGTAAGTATTGTTTTTAATTGTAAATTTCGGGAAATAAGTGCAAGATTTTCGAAAATCTTGAGACTTGAGTTAAGTAAGTATGCTGCAATTCGAGCTGCAGGTAATAAATATAATCAATTTTTCTGTTTTTTTTCCTTTATTTTTTTCCGTCGATCTTGTTTTCCGTACTGAGTACCAATGCTCCCGACGCCAGGAAGGCAGCTCCCACATCTGGACCCTACATATCGACCCATCAACTCATGAACCGGGGGCAGAAATTCAATTACAATTTCTGCAATTTTGTTTCAAAATGAAAACGAAACATAAAAAAAAATGCCATATTATTTTTACATCAATAAACACATTTTTATTTCTACTGCGTGAATTGTCAGATTGAATCAACAAGAAATCTCTTTTAAAAACAAACATATTTTTGTTGTTAACCCAGCTGCCAAATTTGACAGCTTACGTCAAAACCATGAAAGCTCTTGTAAATTCTAAAAGATTTTCTTTTTGATTTAACAATCCATGGGTTTTTAGAAACAAAAATACTGGATTGTTGAAACAATAATGATTTCTTTTTGCAGCCAAAACAAAATGAATTTCTTATTGATTTTACGTCAAATATTATTACGTTTAAAATATTTTTTTCTGCGTGTAAAAAAATGACATGAAAAAGTGGAGTTTGAATTTACTCACATTGAATTTACCCACTGCCAGCGTTGCAAGTTTTCCAGATTTTCAGTCGTCTTGCCAGATAGACAGACATATCACGTTTATTTCCAGATGTTTTAAATATGTTCCAGATTTTCCCAGATTTTTTAAAATATGTTGCTTTATTATATTATATCACTGATATTGATTTACCGTTGCAAAACATTTACAGGGTTGCAGAATCATGAAAATCGAGACATTTTTTTTCTAATAATATGGACTTAGAAAAATCTTCAAGCTTGGATTATTTTTTATAATTTGGAGTCATTCAAAATTTATTTTTCGGAACACTGTATTGAAAAAGAAAATAAAAAAATATAAAATAGTGAAATTTTTAAAATTTTGAAAAACTTAAAGAAATCAAACAATTGTTTAGAACTTAGCACAAAAAATTGAGCTTTAGAATCTCCTTTAGAATCTAGACAAATTTTCGGGATTCTGGCACATTAAAGAATGTTCGTGAGATTTTTGAGTATAATTCATAAGATTTTTTAAGGAGAATTTAAAAGACATTGGGTCATTCCTAGCATTTTTTAAGTATCTTAGAATTTTTAACCACCTTATTATGACATTAGAATTCTGAACTGCCTTAGATTTTCTGAATTATATGGTTATTCTGAAATGAGTTGATAGGGAAGTGAGAGGCGAATTCCTTGTGAATTCAAAAAAGCATTCCAATAAATTCGGAGTAGGGTTCAATCGTAGCTCAGATGATAATTGCATAGAGATTGTGCCGAAAAAGTAAATAGAATTAGAAAGAGAAATCATAGAAAATTCTAAAGATGACTTTTAAGAAACGTTGAATTCAAGGAATTGCTGGGAGCATCTGTAAGGAAATCTGAAAAAAATATAATTAGTATGCTGAAGAGAATCCATAAAGCAATCATTAGGATAATTTCAATGGAATTCTTACGAATGTTTCTATGGAATTCCACGATGAATTAAAATGACATATTCACGAATTTAAAATGAATTCTACGAGAAGGGTGCACCTTAGCGGCACCGGTGGTGTAGTGGTAAGCGTGATTACCTCTCACCCCAGCAGGCCTGGGTTCAATGCCAGTCGGTGCCGCCGGGATGTTCTGAGGCATAACATCTATGATAACTCCCTCCTTCCTTCGGAAGGGAAGTAAAGCCGTTGGTCCCCGGTTCATGAGTTGATGGGTCGATAGGTAGGGTCCAGGTGTGGGAGCTGCCTCCCTGGCGTCGGTAGCATTGGTGCTCAGCACGGAAAACAAGATCGACGAAAAACAAATCAAAGAAGAAAAAAAAGAAGGCTGCACCTTGGAAATTATGAAGAATGTTCCAAGGGAATTTCATAGAGAATAATGGAGACAAAATTTAGCGAATCTCGGGAATTATTCCGCATGAGGGAATTGTGGAGTTACCCTTAGTTTAAGTAAATTGTGTGCGTGGCACGAAGTAAGGATTTGATTTCCGCTTCTGCATGATAAATGTTCCACAAAAATAAAATTGCGTGTTGTACGGTGACTATTAAATTGTCAGTCTCCGTAATCTCTGGATAAAGATGTTGTGAAACTTTATTATTATTTAGAACTAATCATTTCTTTAAGGCATAATATGGTACTAGTATGCATGAAATAGAAAACACTAAATCAAAAATTAGTTATAAACTCATTATTCTTTAAAAATTTATCCATTAAAACTTGCTCAATTATTTGCTTCCTAATATTTCTAATAGGTTACAGTTAAAAAAAATCTTTAAAAAATATTAAGTATTTTTTTATATATAAGGCTTAACTCCATTTTTGAAACTCTGTACGGAAATTCAAACTTTTTGGACGCAGTGTGAAAATACTTTTCTTAGCTTTTTATGGTTATGGTCGAGGTTATGGTAGGTACATCAATTTGATTTCAATAGCATTATTGTCGCTACAGTTGAAAACTGAAAAAAAACCACTACAGAAAATCGATTTTACTCTTTCGAAACTTTATATTGTCGTTCAAGTTGGACACCGGAAAACCCACACGCGACATTCGATTTTACCCTCGTTCTGTACGTTAAACATAACGTCGGACATAGTGCGCTGAATAGCGCATCATTGTGCGAATACAGCGTACTATGTCCGACGTTATGTTTAACGTACAGAACGAGAGTAAATTCAATTGGCGCGTGTGGGATTTTCCGGTTTTCAGCTGAAACGATAATACATAGCGTTGAAGTACGCTTTAATCGCATAATGATACGCTATAATGCGCACTACTTCCTATGCTATCTGTAACTTACACACTTAGAAATTATCGCCGACTTCGGTAATTTTTACCAAAATCTGAACAGCTGAACTTTTCGGTAAAATTTATGCAATTTAATTCAATTGCTTTTCAGTTACTTTGAAACTAAATCTACACTAAAATGACAAGATTTGATCGTTTAAACAAGGACTTTAACGTTCAGCTGTTCTGATTTTGGTAAAATTTACCGATTACGAAAACAAAATCTTAGTGTGTATAGAGATTGCTGACGTTTATCGTACGTACACTACGTCACGTATACGTATACGCAAAATGTTTTCATCGGGAAAAAAAACTTCATAGCGGAAAATTTTCCCGATGAAAACAAATCACTGACACAATCATACTTTATCAATCTCTAAAATCGATTTTCGCTGGTGGGTTATTCCAGATTTCAATTGTAGCAAAAATATTTTAAAATAGGATTTTACGTATTTGGATGTTTCTGAGAATTCCAGATTTTATATTCTAACTGGAACAGTTTTTTTTGAAAATGACCTGGCAACGCTGCCCACAGATTTTGCGCATTGCAAGAAAACATTTAATTATTATGGAACTACGGAACTACTGCCGCGGACACACTTGGATGAAAAACTTCCAGGGGGCACAAAAGTACAAATTTTTATTATAACATCTAATGATTTCAAAATTCAGGAAATCATTTTTTTATAGCAAGTGAGTGGAAGCAACCCTGCAATGGACGTTTTGTCTACATGATACTAGATTCCCTTTCACAGATTTCAGAGTAGAATACCTAACTGTAGATTGGCCCCGCCTTTGGAAAATGAGCACCAATCCGAATGACCGAAGTAACAATCAAATACCCATCATTTCAAACTGTACATTGGACAATTTTTGATCAATGATTGTTTTAAATAAATGAAAGTAAATTTGGATGGATGTTTTTGTATCACATACAATGATAGAAAAACAATAGTTTGTATCGCTTAATTCGATTTTTTTACATTTGTTACATTGGACTATTTGAAAAGTGACGCGAGTATTGTCAATTAGCTAATAGAACGGAGTTAAGTGAAATGGAACATTGTGAAACGAAACGCATAATCATTTCATTTTCATTTTCATTATATGATGTTCAAGGGGGTCAGGGGCCATGACACCGATGTGAATATTCACAATTCACACCAGGAGTGAGCAACACAGCATCTTTACCCATGGGGGTTAAAAAAGTTCTACGAGGTACACTTATGGTGAACCAGCTGCTCAGGGATTGTAGAAAGGAAAAGGGTTGGGTATGTTTAAAATGCAGAATTAGATGCCGTCGCGATTGAATGCGCATGTTGAAATAACGTTGATCCAGATACCTATCATATAAATATAAATAAATAATACTTACATTTCGATAAAGATGATGCTACCTATTTTACCTTTCATGTGATACCCATCATCACAGAATCCAACCTTGAAGCGCAGACTAACAAAACACTCGTTCCGAGAAGGGGATCATGGTCATCTTCTTCTTCAGGTTCGCTCACCACCCGGAATGAAGGCTCGGTGCGGTTAGTAATATCAAACAGTGTTACATGCAAACGAAAAAGAGACCAGGATTAGTTTTTTAAAGTAATAGTTTCATCTGAATACCCAACTAACCATATCTCAGTGACATTGTCCCACTCTGAAGCCACACCTAAAGCTATTTTGTGAATATATGGATTACTTTGGTACTCACATGAAATGTTGTGCAAGTACCACAAGTTCAACAATGCCCAACTATGGACAGCCCAATGTTAATACCATTTACTCTTTGAATAAGTTTACACCAACATGATAATCTACTAAGAAACACCTAAGATTCTTATGTATGTATAGAGATAAAGCTCAAAATACAGTTTTAACTGATAGTACTTTATAAACATCAAACTGTCCAATATTGGACCCTGCCAACACACGGCGCCTGCACGGTTATGTGGGCCGTCAGAATGGTTCATCGATTGCGAAGTGAAGTTCTTCTCAAACTGAAGCGATAGATTTCTCAATTTTTCAATGTAATCCTAACGTAAAATTATCACCCATATGCCCGTTCACGCCCGAAACACATCCACCATACAAAATCATATAAAAATGTTTCTGTATGGCAAACACGCCCAGACATAAACGAGAATATGGGTGTATATCTTCACTGTAACAACTACGGGTATGATTAGATGATTCGAAAGCACTTGCATTCCACTCAGGCACTTTTGAGCAAACTGCAATAACTCTCTTATACTGGAAATGTGCCACGACCAAATTGGCACAACTACGCCCTATATGCTATCTGACCAAAGCGCAGGGTGAAACGATACGCATAATCAAAACAAAACAGCAAACGAGGCTACCAGAAACATGATCAAGCTCATAGGATTACCATACACTTAAATTTTTTCGCCGAGATTCCAACAGCCGAGTAGTTCGCGCTATGTGTCACCAGATTTTCTTCATTTAGATCACATTCAAGTCTATATGTTGAATTCTTCGAAAGAAGTGAAATTACGTAAATTAATATTCAAGAATTAAATAAAAAGTGCAGTATTATCTTAATAATAACATATGTTTGATATCAATCGAAATTTTAAATTATTTCGGTGAAATGTTATTCCGGGAAAAGTTACATTCGGCAGAAGAAGTGTTTTTGGGAAACTGATTTTCGCTAAGTAGTATACGACCATTAATTACGTTTCCCTTGACAATTATAATATCAAACACCGGCGAGACAGGCTGTAAATGATAATGCTGCTCTAGGAATGACTCACTCTCACCAGATACCTAAATGGATCGGTTTGAACATTTTGTAGTGTCGAGTAATTTACCAAGTGAATATATAATAGTTAACTTGCCCTTTGGATAGGTATTTAGTTCACACAGAACTGCTGGATCCAAGTTCGTCGTTATGTGAGCGAACTTTAAACAAAAGTCAGGGTCAATGATATACTTGTTTTGTTTACGTCGGGCGTATGTGCACACAGCACGGTACATACATTATCATTCTTCGCGTTCGTCAGAGAGAACGAACGAAAGGCTCTTCAGTAGTTCTATTCTTCTTCCATAGCAGTTTGGTTCAAGATGGATAGTGTCAAAATATGCATAGTGTTATTCTTAACACTGACAAGTATTGCCCGTGGTACAACCGTGCAGATCGTTAAAAGGCCAAATGTATTACTACTGGTATTAGATGACTTTCGACCGGCAATAAAGGCATTCGGCGATACTAAAGCGATAACACCGAACATTGATCGGCTAGTAAAAAATGGGTACTATTTTACAAACGCGTTTGCACAGGTGAGTTATAATTTGATTAGTTGATGCAGTAGTTTTAATGTCAACGTGTCTTGTTAATTTTGTAGCAATCGATCTGTGCTCCAAGCAGGAATTCATTTCTCACAGGGCGTAGACCTGATACCACGAAGCTGTATGACTTCTACAGCTACTGGAGAGAGGCAGCTGGAAATTTTACGACTCTTCCTCAATACTTCAAACACAACGGATACCGTACGCAATCGATTGGAAAGATATTCCATCCAGGAATATCGTCAAATTTCACAGATGATTATCCTTTGAGTTGGAGTAATCCGCCCTATCATCCCTCTACAGCAGACTATATGAACAAGGCAACGTGTATCGACAAGATCACCGGCAAGATGACAAACAATTTGCTCTGTCCGGTCGTAGTACAATTGCAACCCGAAGGAACACTTCCAGATATTCAAAGTACTGCTGCAGCGAAGGATTTTTTGAAATCTCACCGTAATTCCAGTGAACCATTTTTCCTGGCTGTTGGTTATTACAAACCACATATTCCTTTCAAAATACCAGCAGAGTATCTGGAATTCCATAAAACTACAGATTTCAAAACGTTAGATCTCAACTACCCACCGCACGGTTTGCCGGCAGTAGCATGGAACTCCTACCTAGATATAAGGATCAGAGACGATATGATGTCACTGAATATAAGCTACCCATTTGGTCCGATCCCAGATGCAGTAAAACTTAAAATACGTCAGCACTATTACGCTGCCGTGAGCTACATTGATGATTTGATAGGACAGTTGTTAAAAGATGTTAACTACGAAGACACCATTATCGTCTTAACTTCAGACCATGGATGGTCGCTGGGTGAACATGCCGAGTGGTCGAAATTTAGTAATTACGATGTCGCTTTGAAAGTACCTTTAATCGTTTACAGCCCACAAGTGAAACCTAGGTCAGAGAACAAAATTGATAAGGTAGTTGAATTACTGGATCTATTTCCAACTCTGGTAGACCTCGCTGGGTTACCACCGATAGCAACTTGTGGCAGCAAGGTAAATGCGGAAACTTGCGTTGAAGGTAAATCTTTGCAACCGTTCATTTTGGGTGAAACGTGTGACAGTCAACCTGACGAAGCCTTCAGTCAGTATCCAAGACCAGGAACGTTCCCATCCGTCCATCCTGACAGCGATAAGCCAAAACTCTACCAAATAAAAATCATGGGATACAGCTTACGGACTAAGCAGTTTAGATATACGGCTTGGATAGGATTTGACCCGAATACATTTACAAGAGGTGAGTTGAATGTGAATTGTTCCGTTAGTTTTGTGCTGTAAGTGATACCTGTATTTTTCAGATTGGACGAAAATCTACGGCGAAGAATTGTATGATCATACTATCGATCTCCAGGAGAATATGAATCTGGTTGATCGACCGCAGTTGGCTCAAATAACCAAGTGGTTGAGACTACGTTTACAAGAGAAGTTTGTCTAAGTGATGTGAAAGTTGCATCAGATTAGTCCATACAACTGATCACTTTAAATAATACAATTTTCTTTTCTTCTCTACGCTAGGATTCTTCAAAACTGGCTATTAATAAACTCTTGAACCTTTATCATGTACCTCGTATAATCATAGGAAAAAATAAAAAGCAACTCTTGAATAATTACCGGACACCTTTGAACCTTTTATGAATATTAGAATAGGCAAAGCAACAGAAAATTGAAAATTATCCATAACTTGACGCGTGCATACCTTATTTCGTTGCTCGACCGACCATTTGCTCGCTCAGTGTCCATAGGCTTTGCTGCATACGTTCGCTCTTCGATGATCCACTGGGATCACAGACGTAGCAATTGTTGAAGTATAATCCGGTGAACCCATTCAGTTCTTGAGCTGTTGCGCAATAGATTGTGGTACTCGCGGCTTGTTGTAAAGATTTGGTAAACGGCCGCACAATTGCAAACAGTAGTTTATAGAACCACCAGTTGCGTGCAATCTGCGATGAAACCATATTGCCTGGATGTAACACAAACACCGATATTCCACGACTTTTCCACCGCTTAGCCAACTCACACGCGAAGAGAACATTAAACAATTTGGCATTGTTGTAAGCCATCATGCTCCAATACTTGTTTGCTGGCGGAGAAAGATCACTTTCGGACAAATCAATTGGTAGCATACTGAACCGATGTGATTCGGATGAAACCACAACAACCCTCGTTGTATGGTCCAGCAGATCTGCGAGAAGATTGGTCAGATAAAAATGTGACAAATGCGACACTTGGAATGTAGTCTCGTAGCCGTCCTCGGTTGTACTGTAGGGTAACGCAAACACTCCAGCATTCAAGATAAGCAAATCCAAATGCTTATACTGAGTCTTCACTTGTTGAGCACATTCCCTAACGGATCGAAGACTCGCTAGATCTAGCTTCACAAATTTACATCTTTTACCGGCAGCTTCCTTTTCAATCACTATTTTATCGATTGCTTCCTTCGTTGCCGATTCATTACGACACGCAAAAATGACATCACATCCGTGCAGCGCCAGTGATCGCGCCGTCTCAAACCCTATCCCGGTATTGGCTCCAGTTATCATTGCAACTTTACCGCTCAGGTCCCGACCATGCAGAACTTGGAGGGCGTTCGTTCCACAATCGAACCGTTGTCGCAATTCTCCCACTGCTTGGGGAGTTTCCTCGACGGCAAATGCTAGGCGCGGATCGGTGTAAGATTTCCTCTGGGTCGCGTCGTCGACGAAAATCACCTTTCCCGTTCCTTGCTCTACGTGTTTGCTCCAGCCGAGTGGGAGATCGCCAGAGACACGTTTCATTTTTCCGGTTCTTGGATGTGTCCACTGGGTTGTTTTGGTTTGGTGATTTACGTAGTACACGAATCCATCGTTTGTCGCTCGCTCCTCCCAGGCTGGTGGCAGTTCATCTTCCGAATCGGATTCCGGGAGGGGCACGGGCATTTTTTTTAAACTTTACTGAATACCAAACTAACGTTAATCACAGTGATAAGTAACTTTACTCAACCGTTGGATTATATTTGATGATTATGAGGATAAGAGAACTTTACGAAGAAAAATTCGTTGTCCGTGTTGAAGGCTGGACAGAAACGATGACATTGTCAATCATATTTGTATACAAGGGCTGCAACCAATGTGTACAGAGAGAGGTGAAGCAGATCGTGAAATATAGTCCTCTCCAGGCGGGTTCGTATTGGTGCGATTTGCGTGTGTTAGTGAGAAATTTTTTGTTTGCTGTAAGAACTGTCATTCTAAAGTAAAAATAAACAACAAAACTACGCTTGCACGGTAACAGTCAAGTCCTCTTTTATGAGTAAAAGTTAACCCATTTTTAATAAAAGTGGTTTTACTCATTAATGAGTAAGTTATTTTAACAATAATGAGTTTCTGCTAACAAGATTAAAGTTACTACTTAATTGGCATAATAAATTACTCATTAATTAGTAGTGTGACTTTTATTTACAATGGGTTCACTTTAACTCATAAAGGGATGTTTGATTCTTGCCGTGCACATGACAGTATACGTTAGTGTGTGTAAAATTATGTTATTAGTGTAGTGTTCGTGAGATCCTGCTTGGAGAATTCAATTATTCAGTGCCAACATTTCAATGGGGCGTAATTGCATTTGTAAACAAAGGCTTTAGCCGTCGATTTCTCGCGAATAAAAGATCACTCATGAAAAATAATGACACCAACAGGCAGAGCAATGTTTCCTCTACCAGCTAGCATTGTTATTTTGGAGAGGTAAGATTTCAATCGCGAGAAATTGACGGCTAAAGTCGTTGTTTACAAAAGCAATTACGCCCCATTGAAATGTTGGCACTGAATCAACATTTCAGTTTAGGGTAGAGTGAAAGAGATAGAACCAAAACATTCTAGTACATTTAGTGTTGCCATGTGGCACAATCCAGTAGTAGCAAAGATGAATACTAAGATGAAACTGTCGGAAGAAAAACTTTCTATTTTATAGCGAATTCGTTTATTATTCAGTTCCAACCTGGATCGGGTATCAAGATTGGGTCTGCTTGTTTTCTGACAAACGTCAGTTTGCTCGTTTGTTTTTAAAACCTAGCTCAGGTTGAGGTTCGCACTGAAAATAAGTTCGGTTTCGCACTGGGTTGGAACTGGTTCCAACCCCGATAATAAACGAATTCGCTATTAGCAACAATCAATACGAAACTAACGATTTAAAATTGGCTCACTACTTGACTAGCCTATTGGTCCCAAGCAAACGATTAACGTATCCCATTCTATTCGAAATTCTTGTACTACGCAATGTTTGTTTTGATTTGCTATGGAAGTTTGACAGATAAAATTAGGGGTTATTGGTTTTTCCTATGTTTCGAGGGGTGAATCGATTAGCTTGGGACCGAAGAGAGTACCAGAGCTGAGCCAAAAAGTTGAGCACGTTATTTCGGGACCTTCTAGTCTTAGAGTTACCTCTATGCTATTATGGCGGTAAGCTCCATCTCGGATTAATGTTTAATCCCGTCCCTATTTGTATGATCTGAAAAATGTTTGCTCAGAGTTATGTTGATTAACTCTGATGTCGACATCAAACCAGCCGGACATTCTTGATCGGGATTTAATCCGAGGATAATACCGGTTGGAGCTTACCACCATTAGTGTCCTCTTTTACGGTCCCTTTCATCTAATGAATATCCCCCGTATTCAAGGTAATTTTGTGGTTTTGCTGCCCCCCGGTAGAGATGAAATTTTGCGCTCATTTTTATCAAAACAATCACAACAAAATCAGAGATGTCCCATTTTTTAATTACTCGATTAACAATTAATCGATTATTTTTTGTTCGCTGTGCTACCATTTTTCCACCAACGAGAGTGCAGTACATGGTGGTACATGTTTGAAACGATCGGTGATGATCCTCTGGAGATGTTAATGCTTATATCGGTATGATATAACCGATTACAAATATTTTACTTTTCGGTTCGTTAATCGATTAATCGATTATTCGAAGAAAATCGGCCATCACTGTCATGACTGTGAAACGTCATTTAAAATATAAGGCTGTACATAAATAATGATACAATTTGAAAGGGACCGGGGCTAATCACAAATTAGGGGCTGTTCATAAACTACGTAGACAGTTTAGGGGGGGGGGGGGTTGAGAATTATCCACAGCCCATACAAATTTTATAATTTTTGTATGGACAATTGTCTACGCAGGGGGAGGGGGGATCAAGAATCCTAAAAAACAGTCTACGTAGTTTATGAACAGACCCTTACGTCCCCACTACTAGAAAATTCTATTACAGCGAACCACATTATTTTAATTGTTTTCTTCGCCAGTTAGTCGTCTGTCACTTCGTTTGAGGTAGTGGTGTTGCCATGTGGAACACTAAAAAATTGCATTAGCAGGTGCGTCATCAAAGTTTTCGAGCCGCTTACTTTTCGGTTCGTTAATCGATTATTCGAATGAAAATCGACCATCGCTAGATGAATGTGAAACGTCATTTCAAATCTAAGGCCGTACATAAATAATGATACAATTTAAAAGGGATCGGGACTAATCACAAATTACGTCCCCATGGTAACTGAAATAAACACGAGTGCGGACCGGTTGCTGTAACTCTTTACTCCTTTGGTAAATCCCTAGCAGTAAACGTCTGTCTGTGCATGAAACGTGGTGGAAATTTCCATATCCTTCCACTCCTATGAAAATCTTATAATATCCTATCAAGCTTTGCGTGAAGAGCAGTGTCGGTTTTTTATCATTTACCAAAGTATGGAATTTTCCACTCGCTTTCTACCCAAAAGTATACTTAAGGTCTTAAGGTCTATAAAACTACGGTATTTCGTTCATTGGGTTGTTTAACTTCGAAAAATACATCGATTTTTATACATCATCTGATAGAGTTTTCTGAGCACAATGATATTTTCATCGATCCCCTAGACATTCGTCTCGATTTTTAAATCAAGATTTAAATTTGTGTTCGCTGACACTAAATCTATTCGTTGACAGCTCGCTCCCATACAAAGTCCCACCAAGGGGCGGTAAGATGGTGATTTTTGCTAATATAATCGTACTTATTTTAAATAGTTCCAGTTTACCGCTATTGATGAAATTTTGGATTTCGGTTCCATTTTTAATGCAGATAACGAATATGTATTTACCTCAATACCCCTAAACAACCCAATTCTTTTTGGTTTCTCAGGAACACTTATTCCATAAGAACCGAGGAATAAGTGCTCCGAAGACATCAACAAGATTTAACTTAAGACCGTTGTTTTATAAGCGTTGGCGCACAGCTAATAAATAAAAATGTTCATGCAATACGCTATAAAGTATTTCATAAGTTGCAATTAAAAAAGAGCATCATGTTATTTTGCCTTTGAATGGGTTATCTGCAAAATGAGTAACTTGAAATTAGTGTGTAGTTGTGTTTTCCGACAGGGCAGTGAATTTTCGCTCACGTTATCACGAACACAACGACAGAGCGATCCAAAAGCAAATGCGTAAAATGCGAGTACGTTTGCCAGCTGTCATTCTCATTGATAAAAATAATAGCACGGAATAGTGATAGCAAAATAAATACCCTAAATTTAAGGACTTCCTAGTGTTAATAGTTTCTAGTTAATTTGTGAAGCTGTTCGCAGAATTAGTTCGATTGTGGTTCGGTTAAAATTGAACTAAATATACGCCGACATGGAAAGAATTGCGCCGGAGTGAAGGTTGAGCCTGGTTGGACCAGGCATTGTGCTTCGATTAGATCATTCATTCGATAGTGACGACGCAGACGACGTCGTCTGTGCTTATGATGATTGATTGGGTAAGCAAAGCAAGTTATATTGTCATTGATGAAAGTTAATTCGAAATTTAAGCGGGGAATTTTAAGTAAGATTGTTTTGATTATTATCTAAATGAATTATTGCTTACATTTCAGTGTATGCCAAAAATGATAATTACATCGCAGATTCGTTGTGACCTGTTGCATCTGAATTGATGGCTCTAAAGGCGCACGTGCGATTTTCAAATGAAAAATCATAGTTTATGTACGAAACACATTTTGCCTATGAATGTTGCACCGCGTTATGATTTTTCCGGGTGTAGGTACCTAGTTAAATATAATATTTAAGTCTGCGTATCGAATCCATTTATTCTGTGACATTTGCCTCCATATGTTCCAAGGTCATCTCTATCTTACCCTATTCGACCATAATTTTGTTTATCATTCGTTCAATTATTGATGTTTTTCGTAGGAAATCTACAGTTTAACTAACCCTTGTATGCTTGGCAGCAGCGTTAGGGGGGCTTTCAGACGAAAGCTCGTAGATCTCTAAGAATTTTTTTTATCGAAATCTGATCTTATTGTTGACTAATAATGTATTTTGCATTTCTAACTGGACTCTTCAAAATGCGCACTTATTCCCTATGAATCAAGGAATAAGAGCGCCGATAACAATATGCAATACGATTTAACGTAAAAATGCACTTTTATTAGCGTTTCGGCACTTTTCGTCGTACTTATAATGTGCGCAATGCGATATTTTAAAATTTTCATATTGGCTTGAGTGCCGATTGCTCAAAGAGAATTACTCATTCGCTCTCAAGTTTTCAAATACACTAATCTATTTATGTTGACAAATTTGATGTTTGTTTTAGGAAAATATTCTTTATATTAACTAGTGCTACACCGAATATCGAGCTGGCCAATCGTTTTAAAGGAAAAGGTCGAATATGAACATACATTTACATGTGAAATTCAATCTAGTAAGCTGATCCAATCAGTATTATCCTAGGATCAAATCCCGATGACGAATGTCGGGCGTCTTTGGTCAATGTGGTGTAAACTAAAGAGGCTGAATTTATAAAGAGACGACCTTTCAAAATTGGAACAATCGATTATCTATCAAAGTCATAGGACAAGTCTAGATAGAGCTGGAATTAGGGCGTAACAGCTTTTGTAAACAATGACTTCTATCGATGATTTCTAGGAACTCGATGCACGCCCACGCAGACCAACATAACCATCGGATAGGGGAAGTCTTTCCCTACCCGATGAGGATATTGGTTTGCGTGGGCGAGCCCTGAATTTCTAGAAATCATCGATAGAAGTCATTGTTTACAAAAGCTGTTAGGCCCTAATTCTAGCTCTATCTAGAAGTTATTCCAATCGAGCAGAAGACCAGTCAAATGGATAAGATGTAACCACTTTACCCAATTCAGTCTCTTTAGTGTAAACATGTACACTACCCATAAACGCATAACAGTCCCATTAGAATAGGAAATCAAACAAAGACGTGACTGTTATGGTTTTATAGGCATGTACATGTAAATCACTTTGTGCTTTGATGTCGGCGTCGGTGTTAAAGAATACAATCCTAAATAAACATTTAGCAGATCCTGCAATTAGTTCCAGTATTAAAAGTTATTCCGAATTGGAGCTTGTCGCCATAAGAGATTGACATAAAAAGTTTGCCTTTTAACCATAGGTATTTGAAAAACAAAATCTTTCACAGTGGTGGCAAACGTACATTTTTTTTTCAACCCCACGTTCGAAGCAAAACAAAAGAGCCAGCACACGGGCAGTCATGTATGGGCAACATTTCAAGCGAACGGTGGAGATAAAAAATAGGACAAACAGTTTCATTATAGCCGGAAGCTTTCTTGTGACAGTATATTGTGTGTGGCAGGATAATTTCTCAAAAAGGGATCATACCATCTTTTTTTTGTTTATGGCCGTACGACTGCGCCCATTGACTTAACACACGGTGGCTCTTTATCCAGGATTCGCTCCTATCAAAGTTACACACCTGTGTATAATCCTTATCGGCGGGGTTGCATCGCGCTTATGAGCGGCGCGCTTTGACCGTCACCAAATATGAGAAGTTGACATAAGCGCGACAATATAATCAAATTACTTATTCACGCCTAATTTGAACATCTATGCTTAAAAGTAGTTGGTGCAAACTCGTATCTTGTAGTTCCAGCGAGGTTTTCATGCAATAAACGTCAAATATATGCAGTCATTAGCCAGAAATCAGCAACATTCTACATGACATAGATTTAAGGTGATTCCTTGTAGAGTCCAAAAATGGCCACCACGTAGGCTATACATGCACTTCCACTTTGAATTTTGAATTGCACAAATCTCGGAAATCAGTGCCCCATTTCATTTGAAATTGCTACTTTATGTATGCTGCAATGCAGCAAACATAGAGTAACAATTTGAATGTTGCACGTGTCGTATAAGCTGATATTTGTGCACTTAAAGTTTCGTAGTGGTCACAAGAATAAGGATGTCACAGCGAATCACCTTAAGTTACGCGCACCACTTCTTGTGCGAAAATGTTCTGTCGCTGGCGGAAAATAGTTCAGATATTTATGTCAGGACATTTTTGCCCCTTGGCGGTTTGTTTGTGTGTGTCTTCACTATGTTCATTGCGAAAAGTATAAAATATTAAGAACCAGTACTCGTACCACCACTGATCTTTCAGAGGTGGTTCTGTTTTCTAAAGTAAAGGTTTGGTCAATAGGAGCTGTTGCCTATATTCGAAGATCAGTCCCAAATCGGGTTGCGTAAATTTTGAGATAATAAGATTATGCGTTATCAATTGGAATATAGGGTTGAGATCTAATTTCCTTACTACTAAGTACAATCCGAACTTTATCTATACCTATTGCATGTTTCTACTAAAGATCACTCCTGATCAGGGTATCAAAACGCTTGCAATGATTGTCATGACAAACTCTCTATGCAGCATAGCTTGATCGGAACGCTAGAAGGAGACTAACACTAGCTGAGTAACCTACATTTATAGAAATTTCTGATACAACTGAATCAAAGCATAGACTAACACTAAGACCAGTGGTTTTCGAATAAACATGCTCAATCTTTTGGCTCAAGAAGTACTTACATTCGGTCTCAAGCTAATTGAAGCAGCCCTCGAAATGGAAAATCCACGACCCCTCATTAAACTCTGTCATATTTATAAGACAAATCAATTTTGACTAGTACGATAATGGGGTACGCTTGTACTTGGAACCAATGGGCTGGTCAAGTAATGAACCAATTTATAAGCAATTACTTTCGTATTGATTGTTGGTAAAAGTAACTCTGTCTCTCTCTCTCTCTCTCTCTGTATAGTAGTTTACTCAACATAATTAAACATGTTTTGTTGTTTTTGACATCATCTACATCCAGAGGGCCAGTCACTTTCGAATGTATGTGAATGGTAGGAAACCGTTTGGAAATGCATGAATATGTTCAGTTTTTATTCATTATCGTTTTTATGAGCAGTTTTAGATGCACAAAAATTGCACGAGCACATTACTATGGTAATAAGGTAAACACTCGTTTATTTCTTTCCTTATGTGAAAACATGTTTAGTCACAAATCGTGGATTTTCTGATATTCTCCATACTGCAAAAATGATTTTCCTACCATTGAAGGGGCGACATCTCTCGGATCTTCAGTAAAGCTACTACTCAAATCATATAATTCTATGAATTTGTGTTACTTGGGACGACGATTTTGACAAAACAGCTTTGGTCGCTCATCCGAACTAAAAGTCATCTTCAAGGGAAACCATGTCAATTGTCAGTGATAATCCTGTCAGTGACAAACATGTGCAATGTTTGTTGTTAGCTAAATTTGTTACGAAATTAAATAAATTTTGCAAAACAAATCAATGGAGCCGTTAAAGTGAAAAAGCATCTATATCCTTAACTGCCTGGATGACAATAATGTGACACAGAATGCTTGAAATTCAACTTTTATTTATCATTGACGAAGAAATAAAAGAGATTTTGACGAAGGTTTTTTTGAAAATCAATTGTTTATTGTTTATTGAAAAAATTCAACTGACAATTATTGTCTAAATGAATAAAACTTAAACTAAATAGTTACGGTCAACGGTACGGAAAAGAAACACGTCAGCTGATACATTGAAGTCGAACATATAAAATAAGTAACTTATTTTAACTGTTGTTGAATTGCCGGCTGATTGCTCGAATTGGCTCTTGTTGTGGTACAGTGGCTCCGTGGTTCCAAAAACAGAAAGTCGCGTTGACGAAGAGACCCCCCAGGGCATACATATTTAGCTGTGACAGCAGTGTTGGACAGTCAATGTCACCCGTAAGCAGCTTTCCAGCGAACATAGCTTGAGCGACCGTCCGTCTCACCTCTAATGGCTCGATTCCCAGGAGACGGCAAAGCTCCTCGTACGGTGGCAAGTTCGTTGGGTCACGCCAGTTGAGGAAAGGAAGAGCATATCTCACAAACTTGCGTTGAACGTATTCAATTCTAGTGATCCAGCTAGCATGGAAAAGGCACCAAACAACTGAACTTGACTCCAATAAGGATCGCACAAGCGAGCAGTAAAGTGACCTGAGGCATAGCGGTTCACGAAACTCGTCGGCAATTTTGAAAATAATGCCCAATTGTCGATTAGCTCTGGCGATGATGTCTTTGTAGTGGATTCTGAAAGTGAGTCTGCAGTCTAAGGTAACGCCGAGATCCTTTATGTGCTCTACACGAGCAAGACAGCGTCCGTAGAGAACATAGTCAAACATGATTGGTTCGATTTTTCGGTGATAGGAAATAATGTTACATTTTTAACACAATTCTTTCAGTGACGATGTCAAAAATAATGTTGTCAATATCGTGTGAAGTCATTCAATGACAATGACAAATCTCAGCACTTGATGATACGTGTAATTGGCGAAATTGTTCTTATGTAATTCAATTGATCCGATCATGCTATCCGCGTTTGCTACAAACAAACTTTTAGATAATTTTATATTTGTTGCTTGCCGTTACCGATCGCC